TATAGATTCTTGATTTTGTGTCTGGTCTTATGTGTTTGTTCTTCCAGATTATATCATTAAGAGAACCCGCCGCTTTACTTGCTTTTAAGCTTTGTAGTCGTACTTCTTTTTCAACATCTCCGTAACTAGTTAAATATATTCCCAGATATCTAAACCTTGCTTCCTGCTTTATTATTTTCCCATCAATTTCGATTTTACACCTTAGTATTTAGATGTTGTCATACATTTGGTTTTTTTCTGCTGATATTATCATATTGTATTTCTTAGCTGTTGTATTGAAGGTATGTGTTAATCTTTGGAGCTCGTCTGCATAACATAATATTTGAAATTATGTTCCCCATTCTGTAGCCATGATCTTTACGTACTGCTTGTATTATTTCGTCCATTATTAAATTAAAGAGAAGTGGGCTCAACGAGTCACCCTGTCTGACTCCGCTTTGTACTTTGACTCTGTTTGTTAATTTAATTATTAATTTTATTTACTACATGCAATTTTTATCTTTTAAGAACCTTATAACCTCAATATTAAATATCAAATAATGAAATCCAAACGAACAAAATATACTTACGAAATTTTACAGTTAAAACAAGTTTAGTCATTTTAGTTGCAGCAAATATAAGACTAAAATATTAATATAGCTAACACCTTCCCCGATTTATGCCACTAGAAGTCGCTCTTCGGAACTTGCACATAGCGAATAGTATAGGTATTTGATCTTTACTGTATATTTTGTTTTATTTAATGAATATTGTTTTTAGCGTTAATACTATTATCAATAAGTAGGTCTTTATGAGTATTTTTGTATGTTATACCGATAATATTCACAAGTATTTTTCAAAACTTAAGGAAAGTGTAGTGTATGATTAATTTTCTTCAGTTAAGAAACGTTCCTTGGCTTATTTTAGATGTCCCTGAAGATGCTCTAGGAAGCGAAAGTACTTAGGCAAGATTTAATTAATAAACTGTGATATCTGCCTTTTATTCGATCAAAGTTCATTTATTTGATCATTCAACCTTATATCAATTTATTTAGTAATTGTTTATCGTAAATACAAGATCTAATGATTTTGATGAAAAAGTTGATACGTCCGGACCCCCCGCATGGTGATTAAAAATAAAAGCAGAGAAACAGCTTAGAACAAAAAAGAAGAAGCTTAGGTAAGAGGAGAAAACCTTTGGAAAAGAAGACGAAGAGAAAAGTTGGCAAGATGAGTAAGAGTTAAAGGGAGAAGCATAGGGAGGAGAAAAGTAGATAAGAAGAGAGACAAGAGAGAGGTAGCTGTAGTTTTCTCCGTGGTTATTGTTAGTTGTTGCCCTAGAAACCATCAGAGCCTTCTAACTCTAAGGCCACAAATCGGTCGTACTTAGCCTCGCCGGCCACCGCCCGATTACCAAACTATCTCAAGAGAAATCTGCTATTGTGTAATACATTTTCGTAGACGGCTAATGTCAAAATTTTAGCCGAATCGGACTTGTAGTTTAGAAAAACGGAAAAAGCAGCAAAAACGACTATATTTGGAGAAGAAAAAGTGCTCTTCTACCATGACAATAAACCGGCTTATACTTCCTTCACCTCCACTGCAAAATTGGTCGAATTGGGCTACTATGAAGTGTTCCGAGTGTTACCCCATCCACCGTATTTTATAGATTTGGACCCGTGCGACTTTTTGTTTCCAAACTTAAAAAAGGCACTCACCGAGCAGAAATTTAACTCTAATAGTGAGATCATCGCCGACACAGAAGCCTACTTTGCAAACCTCGAGAAAACGTATTTTTCAGACGGGTTACATAAGTTAGAGCATCACTGAGTACCTAAAGTGTATCCATATTTTTTCAAGTGTAGCCATTTTTCAAAATATTTATTTTTTGTAGGCTAAGTAGTACTTATCGGACCGCCGTAGTATTTATGTCAATGTACCTAAACTGATAAAACCACTGTTTTATTAACACAACTAGTTATATTGTTTTTAAAATAATAATAGGTTTGTTTCTGCAGTAGTTGGAAACGATTTTACAACGCTCGAGTTTGCGCAGTAAAATAATTGTGTTCGTCCAGGTTTAATTTCAAACTCCAACTGTTTGGTCAGATGTTCTTGCAGATTTGTCGACCGTTTTCAAATCGTTTTCAAATAGTCATTCTGGTTTGAAGATTATTTTCCAACTAATAGTTTGACGCAGGCGTACTAAGTATAAATAAATACGGTTGCTTATTTTTAACCTGTAAATATAAAATATATTGTAAATAGTTTTCACTAAGTTATATTGAACTGATTATTTATTGGTTATTTTTCAATTCCCACGTTTGGTGTATTTACATTGATTATTCTTTATTGAATAAATTTTTGGACTAAATATCCAACATGGTAATTATACGTGATATAACTATGATTAAATAACTTATGAAGTAAAAAAAATATATTTCAGGAATCATCTGAAAGTTCTTCTTCTGATGAAGAGGTGTTTGATATTGAAGAATTGTCGTCGGATGAAGATTTGTTACAAATTCTAGATGAACGTATAAGGCCTAAAAATAAGAATTATATTGAAGAAACGGTGTCAAGTTACAACGATTGTGAATTTATTGAACACTTTTGTGTTAGTCGTGCGGTTGCTGAAGATATTGCGAACCACTTCAGAAATTCGCAATATTTTCATTATCAAGCGGGAGGCAATGGAAAGCTTGGAGAATATGAACAAACATTAATATATTTATGGTTCGTTGGTCACCAGACTGCATCATTCAGAGATGTAACTGATAGATTCGATATTGCTATCAGCACTCTTTTTAAATTAATTAGAAAGTTAACATATTTTCTGAGCAATATGGCCCCTCAAGTAATTAAATGGCTATCAGGTGAAGAGAAAATAGAAATTGAGAGAAACTTTAGGCAAAACAATTTTCCAGGTGTTATTGGAGTAATTGATGGGTGTCACATTAAAATAGACAAACCAACAAATGATCCAGACTCATACTTAAATAGAAAACATTATTATTCTATTTAGGTAATCACATACTAATACATATCTTATAAACTTAAAAACTGACTAGAATTTTTATATATATTTTTAGTTGCAAGTAGTTTGTGACCACCAAAGAAGAATAAGGGACTTATTTGTCGGTTATCCAGGATCAGTACATGACAGCAGAGTTTTCAGAACTTCACCATTAGCTGAGACTATAGTTGTAAAGTGTGTAGATTATTTTATTTTAGGGGATAGTGGTTATCCATGTTTGCCCAATCTCCTAACTCCTTTTAAAGATAGAGGTAACTTAACACGAAGACAGTTAAATTACAACATGAAATTAAGCAAAAATAGATATGTAGTTGAACACTGTTTTGGTCTATTTAAGCAGAAATTCCGTCAGTTATATCATGTAAAATTAAAAGCTGTACCAGATATAATACATTTTATAAGAGCATGTTGTGTTCTTCATAATATAACAATCGAAGACCAATTTGAATATGAGGCAGAAAATATTGATGAAAATATTTTACCATTTAATTTGGACATTGATGAGAATCATGCAGACAGAAATGGAATGGAAAGAAGAAATGAAATCATGACTTTGTTACCTACTTTTAATATTCTGAAATATTTTATTCTCTTCGATATAGACTGTAAAACATGTATTGTATGATGTATTTAAAACATATTTAAAGTTTTAGAGTTAATATATGTATATTCTTTTTATTTGTTACACATTCAATTTGTAGAAAATAAAAATATAACTCTGATGATTTTTTATTAAAAAAAAACCTGTTACAAACTTAACCTTAAATTTACTTTCCTAAAAATTAAAGTATTTCAGTAGGTAAAGATTCTTTTGATACTAAATATTTGCTAAGTATTTCGTTCGTCTTCTCTCTCAGTTTATTTTGTTTTCTTATTTCTAAAAGTCTTTCTCTTCTTAAAACAGTTTCTTTGTTTGGTTTTTTTCTTTGATCACTTCTAATCTTTCTTTGTGAATTTTTAGCAGTTCTGTATAAAATTCCTTTTTGTCTTCACATATCTTTTGGAGAATATTGTTTTTGCTAACTGGTTTCTCTCTTTTTCTTTTAAGTGATTTTGGTGTAGAACTAAGAACATTGGCTTTAGTTGTTGCTACATCTTCAGGCTTTTCATCTATGTGATGTGCTACTGTTTCATTAGATAACAGCAATTCATGATTAACATTTCTTTTTTGCCCAAATATCTCATCTAGTTCATTACTATATTCAGATGTTTTGCGGCCTCTTCCTGTTTTTTTACTCTCATCTATATATTTCTTATAATTTCTTTCAATTACTCGCCATCTATTTTCGCAGTGATATGCATTCAAATTAAGATTATGTAAGTTATTTAGTTGTTCTGCTACCTTTGCCCACATAATTTTCATGGATTTCATTTGTAAACTCCCTACCCTATCTCTGTATTTTTTATAAAAATCTATTAATGACAGTGTCTGGTTGTGGGTCCAAGATATACTGACTGAAACACTTGTCGATGGACTTTGGTTTACAATTATAAACTCTTGTAAATCTGAAACAAATGTAACCTTTAAATGCCGTTTAGAAAAATGTGTTTCATTATTTTGTTAAACTTTCACTTTAGACGAAGTTATTGTTTTGAAAAAAAAGTAGTACTTACCTTCCATATTAGAAATCTATTTGTTTGATTACAAAAATTATGAATCTCGATATTAACCAAAAATATTAGGTTAGGTTAGATTAATTTAATTTCGATAATCAGCAAATCGTTCGTGCAGCATAAATTTTGACAACGGTCAGAAAACAGTCTAATTTCACGTCTGCGCAGAGTGCATAGTTTGCAAACGGTAAGCAAACCACGGCAGAAACAAACCTAATATAAATTTCAAATATTAATGGACTTTATTTTAATTTTTGTCTTAAGAATTAAAGTCAAATATAATTAGGCAAATGAAACCATGGGTTTCGCATTCAATATCCCAACCACACACACATAAACTGATACGCTTAATGTTTATTTTTAAAGTTACCTCAAATCTCAGATCTCCAAGAGGTGGTTTGGCATATGGAATTCCTAAAAAGGCGTAATAAGGTGTTCCTTTACCCCGTGTAGTTCCTTTGGTTCCTTTAACATAACCGTCTTCAATTTTCAATTTTGTGTAAGTTTTGTTCAACTAAAAATAAAAGCAAAAATGTAAAGTAAATATTCAGATGTTTTCAATTGCTATTAGGTTTTATGAGTGCGAATTCATTGTAATGTGCTTTCCAATGACAACGGAAATCTGACCTTTATTAAATACCGTTACTTTCCACTATGATCGAAAATAGTTGAAGTGATATTCCCAGTACTACCTCTAACATCAAAAATGGTACCAAATTGGTAATTAGCATAATGAAGGCAGTAGGGTAGGTCAATTCTCTAGGTAGGAAAGTTGCATTCTTCACTTTTTTAAAATTTTACACAAATGGAAAAAACAGCTGATACATAAAAAAACATTGTGTGTTATTATATATTTTATTATGGTAGGCAATATATTTGAACATTCTTAAATTTCGTTATATAGTTTCGAAGACTTTTTGTAACTTTATAAACATAAAAAATCTCGTTTAAACAGGAATATAAAAAATAGAGAAATAAAGTAAGTAATCTTCTTCTTCTTCTTCTTCCTATGCCGTCCCCATTAAAGGCCATACTGTCCTCAAGCACGACAAGTACGCGCTCGAGACGCATCGCCCCGCCCCTCATTTTTCCTATTGGTCCCTGACCTGGAAATCCCTATTTATTGCTACTTGTGTGTCTAAAAATAGGCGATTTTCAATTCAACGAGGTCAGTCCCTCACGGGCTCTCCGAGGCTCTCTAATTAAATTATCTTGTCAATTTATTGTTATCTGTTATGTATATTATAAATATATTATCATCTATATTTATTATATATAATTTTTTTTGTGTTTCAGGTGTTGCTTTACAGAAAAAGTGGAAAAGTATACGAGGGTGTTACACAAGGAAAGTTAGTCGACAAAAAATTTAAAGTCTTGATCCGGTGGTGGATCAAGAAAAAGTCAATATGTGTTCTTCCAGCAGCTACAATTTTTAAAGCCTGTGGTAGCTATTAAGGAACCAGAGCACGTGGCTGGTGATGAATCTGTGGAGAATATTGAAATAGACAGGGAGGTGGTACAATGCCCCAAAAGAAAAAAAATAAAAAATACCACTACAGAACCTGAGAAGGATAAATTCCTCGAAACACTGAACAGAAGCATTGAAATAAGAGAAAAACATGAGGCCAATAGTGAGGACGAAGATAGATTATTTTTGCTATCTTTGTTAGGTACCCTAAAAAAAGTACCTCAAGCAAAAAAAATGGTTACGAGAATTCAAATGATGACCTTGCTTGACAATGCCACCCGTAATATTGAGTCTTCGGGCAGTTATGGACACCCATATCAGCAAAGTTCGTGGTCCCAATCACAAGTGAATAATCCTACCCATCACTTTGGATATTCTTCTCGTTCTGGAGGATCAGAAATACCACATTCTTTCTATCAGTCATCCGCATCAGTATCCAACTTTTCCGAAGAATCATCAATTCTCGATATATATGACTTATAAATAATTTAAATTTTCTACTTAATTTTATTTAATTTGTTATAGTATAAAATGTAACAAGACTAGAAATAAATGTTTACTTACCTTAATGTCACAAAGAGTTTTTCTTCTGAACTCACGGATTTTCTTAACACAGTATCTTGTTTAGTCAGATCATCCCGACATAAGCTCAATAATTCAATAAAGATGCCACGGACATTCTCACGTAATTGAAAAATTTTTCGGGATATTTCATTAAATCTTCATATAATTTGACAAAAATACCGCTTTCTCCTTGATTTGATATAAAAGGATGTACCCATATTTTTTCCTTCTTCTTCTGCTTAATATTTTTTCGACGTACATAAAAATGATACAACAGTGCGATTTCTTCCGCGTCCATTTCTGTCTATATAACGAGAACGACTGTGGTGATCGCTGGCGGCGTTCTTGGCGACGTGTTTTGGCGACCTACGGTGGCCAGGAGTAGCCGTGGCGACGTCGCTGGCTACGTCGCCATGGCGTCCTACTGAGGTATGGCCCTAACGGAGGTTGGCGACCACATTTTTCAAAGATTCTTTGTCTTTTGCAACGTAGAATAATTCGTCTACAGTCATGTTTGTCCAGTCCAGTCTCGAATATTTCGCAGCCATGACTTCCTCTTTCTACCTATTCCCTTTTTGCCATCGACTCTACCCTGCATGATGACCTGCAGAAGACTATAGTTATAATTCCTTAGTATGTGTCCAAGATATGCAGTCTTGCGTACTTTTATTGTTCTCAACAATTTTTTGTCTCGACTCATCCTTCTCAGTACTTCCTCATTGGTGACCCTGGCAGTCCATGGAATTCCCAACATTCTCCGGTATATCCAAAGTTCAATGTGGCTTCAATCTTCTTAACAATTTGCGCTTCTAACGTCCATGTTTCTACCCCGTACAATAGTTGGGACAAGACGTAACATTCAACAAACCTCAGTCTCAGAGCAGCATTCAGATTTTTGTAAGTGTTCAGTAAGTAATGATGTAAATAAATATTAGGAAAAAATAAATTAAAAATAATTTAACCACTTACTAAGTACTTTTATTTATTTAAAAGTCACGTCGTTTATAAAAGATGTCTAGTAAGTGTTTGATCTTACATTCACCATTATTTGATCTTCCTTTGGTCATTTACATTAACCTTTTAGGCTCCCATACTTTCTTTAGCAGCGATTATTTTGTTCTTTTTTATTGTTTCCCATCTTTGATCTACTTAATTTTCTTTTAATATGCTGTTTCCTTAAAAATTTTCTTTTAATCATCTTTAATATAGCGATCGAATTGTTTCGTCTTCTGATTTCTCGATATTTATTTTCACTTCATATTTTATTTTGGGAGTAATTATTTCTGTAGTGGTATTTTTATACAGATCAGGTCAAAATCTCAAGGGAAGTGAGACAGGGATGCATAATGTCACCACTGATATTCATTCTGCACTCGGAGGACATTTTTGAAGAGGCTCTAAAAGATATTGATGAAGGCATGTCAATAAATGGAGTCAAGCTCAATGACCTGCGGTATGCAGATGATACAATAGTGTTTTCCAATACCATAGAAGGGCTGCAAAACGTAATGAACAAAATAACGGAAACAAGTAGAACATACGGACTGGATATAAATACCAGCAAAACCATGCTAATAATCATCAGCAAGAAAATCATAACTGGAGAAAATCTGTATGTAAACCAAATGAGAATTGAACGTGTCTCACAATACAACTACTTGGAAACTACAATCAATGAGTCGTGGGACAATATCCAAGAGATCAAATGTCACACCGGAAAGGCAAAAAGTGCATTCTTGATTATGAGCTCTGTGTTCAAGAGCCATGACTTCATCTAGATACAAAAATAAGGCTTCTTAAGTGGTATTCAGTGCTTCTGTACGGAGTAAAAACGTGGACATTGAAGGCGGACACTCAAAACTTCAGGCTTTTGAGCTATGGTTATACAAAAGGATCCTGAAGAAACCATGGACAGACAAAGTCATCAATGAAGAAGCGGAGAATGAACACAACCGCGAATTTGGTCAATATCCTAAAGGGCTGTAAACTGCAGTACTTGGGACATATAATGAGAAATTAAGGCAGATACGAGCTACTTTAATTCATTTTGCAAGGTAAAATTGAAGGCAAAAGGGCCCCAGGATAAAGAAGAATATCCTGCCTTGCTAACCTGAGAGCATGGTATAGAAAGACCTTAACACAGCTATTTCGTATAGTAGCAAACGTTCGAAACGGACAGGAAAATAAGAATAAAGAATAATAAAAAATAATAAATAAGAAGAATAAGAAGTGGTATTTTTATTAAGATTTTTCCTAAAACATAATGTGGTCTGATTCTACGTTATTAGATGATGTTAATGTTTTGATATCTAATACCTGTTTAAGGTGTATTTGCTTGCTCGTTATTATATAATTTATAGTTGATTTATATTATTGAATGTTTTTCAAAGTATATTTTTATTGTGGTTTATGTGGAGAAAATTTGTTTTATTTTCAATGTGTGCTGGGCGCAGAAATTAATTAGTGCTTCTCCATTTCGATTTATTGTCTGTTCGTTGAAATGTTGTTTTATTGCTTCTAATACTTTGTTCCCTATTCTTGCGTTTAAGTCGCCTAATAATATGACTTTTTCATGTATATTAACTGTATTCAACTAATCTTGCAATGTATTATAGAAGGCGTTAGTTTCTTCTTCGTTCTTACTTATATCTGGAACATATACTGATATTAAATTTCTTGTGAAGGCGTATCCCAACTTCTGCTATATATATTTTCCTTTTTTTCCTGCTGTATACCTGTGACGCACCCATTGGGCTTTTGGAGGTTAACCCCCCTCCCCCCAGAGCATATAAATTAAAAAATATATAAAGAAAATAGTAGGAAAATTTAACTTGTCTTTTACACACAATACAAAAAGTCCAAAACGCTAATTTAATAATTACATTACCACTTTAAATATGTAGAACATAATAGTTATTGTATGCACAATAATTAATACACAATATTTAATAATATGTTTCATTTTATTTAGATATAAAAACCTAATATTAGGCTTATGACAAAAGTAGACAGAATGAGTCTGTTGCGAGTAGCATGCGCCTACAGGACTGTATCTGCGGCGGCCTTGTGGACTATCACGGGCTGTGTTCCTCTGCAGGTATTAGCAGTAGAAAAGAGACATCTCTATGAGAGAAGAGCGCATTTGACAACAGTTATTAAAAAAGAAGGATTATATATCTTGGTCAAACTATAAAACTTAACAAAGAAAACCAAACAGCAGAGATCAAGAGACGAGTTAGACTGACATGGGCGGCATTTGGCAAACTCAGCTACATTCTTAAAAACAAAAGATATCCACAGCATCTTAAGACCAAAGTATATAATCAATGCGTACTCCCTGTTCTTACTTATGGTTGTCGAAAGTGGACATCTACAAAAGCAAACATGGACAAAATCATAAAAACCTAAAGAGCAATGGAAAGACAAATGTTGCACATAAGACTAATGGATAAGAAGAGAAACGAGTGGATAAGAGAGAAAAC